GATGGCCCATAAGCCCATTTGGATTATCTTAAAGTTGAGTACAGTATGTCATTTTCTTCAAAGAAAGATATGGCTCATTCACTTCGCTGATTCGAGTTTGTAATTCGAGTTGAGATGTTATTTTGTGTGAGAGCTTTTTACTGTAGTAAAAAAGTTAGATGTGATTATTTCTGAGAACTTTTTACTGTAGCAAAACTCGAATTCTAAACTCGAATCGGCGAAATGAACGGGGCCTATATATACTTCACAACACTCCTCCTAAGCTAGGGACAACCAAATAGGAAATGGCTTTATTTCTTTCTTTTTTCTTTCTGTGATTCTGAGCTTGTGTTGGAGAAGATTCTTGCTTCCTTTCAGTTTCATAGAAGATTTGCATGGTGGCTTTTATGGTTCTTCAATGATTCTGAGTTTTAGAGAGAAACATTTGTCTTCTTCATTTCATATTATTCTTTTTAGTTCTTTTGGCAAGCCAAACATTCCCCATTAGCCAAACCAAAACCACCGTGGCTTTTAGCTACATAAAAATGTAAGGCTCCAATCATCCTTCCCACAGCCCACCACCATATAATGCAAAGGTATAATAATATCCAAAATTTAAGTGAGGGCCCACAATTTGGGGAATTGTGGGGCCCACTACTAAAAGGTCACCCCCCCCCCCCCCCCCCCCCCAAACTCATTCCAAAAAGAAAAAGGCATGTATAGATTGGCAGCCACCAATCTTGTGCAAAGTCATATCATCAAGGAAAGTAGTAGTAAAGGCCAGTATAGGATTGCTTTTTGCTGCCTTCAGTTATAATTGACGTTTAGGTTTGGATTATTTCATAATCTGCATTAGAAAGTTGCTTGTCCAATGATCGTCGGGTCAAATGGTATGGAGCCGAATACAGCTTAGATTTTAGAGGGCGTGGTTTGATTCTACCTTGTATGAAAAGGAAACTTTCAAAAACAGTTTGTTTGATAAGATATTCTAAAAGCGATTGTTAATGAAGCCAATCACTTTCTATAACAGGTTTGAGAAGTTAACAATTATAGCTTTTAGCAGAAACAAAACTGAAAGGGTTTTTTGTTTAGAAGCCTAAACAATACTAACCTAAATAAGGTTACTTTTGACTTTATTTTCCTCCCTCTTAAAAGGCACAAATTGGATGCAATGGTAAGTTGGATTTGATCCCAAGTCATCCAGGAATCAATTTGATTTCGAAAAATAATCAACTAACGAAATAAGACATGGTAGGAACTCCAATTGAGGTTGACATTTCACAATTTAGACTAAAAAGTAGATCATATTTAGACAGTTAAAAATGAACTCAAATCACTTATCTAATTTTACTATTTAAAATGATACCTAATCAATTATATTGTGTCATGTCATTTAAAAAATTTAAAATACTTTTTAATTCATTGAATAAGTGTCTTAGTGTAATTGGTTAGACACTATTTCGAACATTAAAATTTAATACTTAACTTATGAATTGTTAACATAATATTTCAATGGCGCGAGGCTCAGAGATGGATATTTATCACTACTACTAATGGTCAGTGATTTTTTTTTTTTTGTAAGATTTAATTATCATTTTAATTTGGTAGGATGATTCATGCAATTGGAATGAACAATATGTCATAAACAACATTTAATCTGAAATGGCCTAGCAAAATCATAACAATCTTTAAGGCCTCTATTGACGGCGATGGCAACAACCACAATACGGCATCTATTACATCATTATCATTATCATCATTATTATCATCATCATGATGATTATTATTATTATTATTATTATTATTATTTGTTTTGTTTATTTTGGGATGACTTGATGAATCTTATCTTACATATTGCATGGAAGATCAATGATCATTGATGAAAGGGAATATTATTGTATTTGTCAAATCCCAGCTAATTTTCATTTTTGACTAAACTGCCACTGGACCATCATGCACCCCTTCTACATTAATTAGATTTTAGTATTTTGCTCTTGTGAAGAAAACGCACTACAAAGAAATGGCTGTCTTTGCCTCGCTTTCACAACCTAGTATCGCTGTTTTGGGTTTGGGTTGGACATTTTTTTTGGTCCCACCCCGTTGCTTTCTTAAAATAGAAGAAAAATGCTTAGAAACACCACTATTGTTAAACACTATTACTGATAGAATGTGAATCTTATCTCGTCCTGTGAGACTCATCCTTTTATTAGTGAGTAGTGTTTAATACCGTCCGTGTCAAATAGCATTGCTCAAAATGAAAACCGTCACTAAAAGACTAGCAATGTGGCATTGAACTATCACCAGTTGATACTTCTTGGGTCCGATTGATTTGCAGCCAATGGGTTGATGACACGATGTCGAGGAGGGCATGCAAGAGAGAGGGAGAGAAGATGTTAAACGGGACTGATGACTAGGGTTTCCAAGGGGCTGTGATGGAAGATGATGCTACAGAACTTAGGTTTTGAAAAAGGATTGCACTGCTTATTTAAAATGCATCAATTTCTCTCTTTGTAATGTGCTTTAAATTAGTTGGTCATTCATAAACTTCAATAGTTATCTCAAAATATCGTTTTCTCTACTTGACAGGTCTTTTACTGTGAAAATATTTATATGTTACTAAAACTATTACATTTTTAAATATTTATTTAATATAAAGAACTCCAAAAATTCTTTATTAGTTCAAAGGAAATTGAAAATTTTCTGTTGTTCAATAATTTCCATTGCCACTCACTCTAATTTAAGTTTATTCTAGTTTGGTAAGCATAAGCTTATGAAATAAACGTTCGAATTTATATAAACATTCTTTTCGTGCACTTACAAATACGATTGAATGGTGCACACATATAAAAGGACTAAATATATATCATTCAGTTCATAGATTTAGACCACATTTTAAATTTTTTTTGTTACAATAATATCTTTCATGAAAAATTAAATTTATCTTCGAACTTATGAACTAAAAGGATCAAAAGTCTAATAAGAGACATCTCCCAATATGCAAAACCCCTCTCTCTCCTCAAACAACAACGTACAATAGTTTCGTGTGGAGTTCTTATATTTTTTTTTTTAGGATCTTTTAATGAGATTCACATTATTTATCTAATTTTTAATATTTTAATTGATATTTAACTAATTATATTATGACACGTTACCAAACGAAGTCAAATATAAAAACATGGACAAATCAATTAAAACACATTTTAAAATTTTAAATTATAGTATAATATAATTGATTAAACATGGAAAGTGGACAAATGATTTGAGTCCTCTTCCACAATTCATCTTCAGCCGTAAGGCAAAAATGTGTTTGATCCGACGGTCATATATCGTCCATCTAATGGGCCCCTACTTGATGATGACCACTGACCTTTCCGAAATAAGACCCACTTCTGCTTTACCGCAAAAATAGGCCTTAATGACGATGGGCCCAGACGTGGGAAGGAGGGAAAAAACAAAAACACGAGAGAAAAAATAGGAGAATTTACCATGAGGATCTGTACTTTTATCTTTTAGTTTTGATAAATATTATTTTATTAATATAATTATTTAATTAAAAAGATTATAAATAAAGAGTAGTAAAGTTTTAAGAGATATTTGTGAAAGACAACTCCAACCATGTTTACGGCCCGAAAACGACTCGACGTCGCTAAGAGTAATGGGCCCAACAGCGAAGTGACTAAACTATCAAGTGGTTAAAAACTTACCATTAGAGTAGGTCCCAGTGAGCACTGTTGGAGAGAGAAACAGACAGGGCCACTAGGTGGACCTTTTGATGATGTTCTCATGTGGGCCCATTCAGGCAATAATTAGTATCTTTTGGATGTACAAAGAAAAGGCACGCTGTTGTCAACCTGCCTAGAGCATGTCGGGTCTGCAAAGCTGTCGGGTTGAAGACGACTCTCTGTACAGATAATAATCTGTCCATTTCGCATATTTAAATTTTTAATTTGAGTTGAGATATAATATTTTTAAAAAAATTTTAATTATATTAAAAAAATTAAATGTGATTTTTTTTAAAATTTTTAATTATAAAAACTTAAAATTAAAAACTTAAATCCATAAAATTAACGAGATTAATTAATTAATGTGTGCCCAAATTAACGGGCACTTACCACATTTACGGGCCTCAGGTACGAAAACTGCATTTGAAAGTAGCTTGCAATTTGGGCCGGAAGTTAATCCAATTGTTGATAAATAAGCCCATCAGGCATTAATCAGATGAAAATTGCATTTATATTATATAAAAGAGAAAAGTGTTGATAGTGCATGAGGCACAATTTTCACTTGATTAATACTTTTTTAATTAATATAATTATTTAATTAAAAAAATTATTAAATAAAAATAAAGAATAAAAATTCAGACTCACAATGTAACAATGTAAGTGTTACTTTTCTCCTTTCCCAATTATAAATTCAATATATAGTTATATACCGATATGCGTACGTAGTTGTGATGTTTCATCACCTGACCACAAAGATACAACAATACCATAACATCAGCAACTATCTACTCTTTACTGTGTAAAACGTGACAATTATTTTCTAGTTCATTTTGACAGTTAGTTCCCAGGGTGAAAAGCTGTTGATACCAGACAAAGGAGTTCTTGAGAAAGAGAAATGTGGGCAGAATTCAGTTGTTTGCTAAAGGGGTTAAATTGCTAATAATAATGGATGATTGCCAAGAAGAAAACTTTTTTTTTTTTTTCTTTTGGTTTAAATCCTTTCAAATAAGGTAATTGCACAATTGAATGATCTACTATTAAAGGTTCCATGGGCACATTATCAATGTGTCAACCGCACTATATACACAGTGCATAAATATACTACAATCCGGAAAGAAGATAAAAGAGTCGATCAATTTTTCAAGTATCATTCATCAGTATCTGCGTGTGAATGGGAAGAGTTTTGGTATTGAACAAAAGGGTCAGTTCAAGCTACCGAGTTTAAGAGAATGTTTCTGAAATTTGTTCCAACTTCGAGCCGTAATAAATAATTCTCCTGAGCTAGAGATCACATTTAAGGATCAAAAAATTGAACTTCATAACTTACGATAAGTTGTTATCATACAGTTCAAGCAGTTGGTGAATCAAAATAAATCCACAGTATGTTCCTCACTAGTTAAGAAGTTGAAAGCTGATAAGATAAGCCTGCAAATCAAGATTTGTAATCATTAGCATTTGAGAGAGAGAGAGAGGCAAAACTATATCAACCCTCAAAATGGCTTTTAAAATAAGGCATATTTATTCAGCCAAAAAAAAAAAATGAAGAGAGAGAGAGAGAAAAAATATAGCACCCCTCAAATGGCTTGTAATATGGAAGTAAATTCTGAATAAGAAAACTTGAAGAAGAGGAAAATGCAATTGAAAGGATTAATGTTCTTTTAATGAAAAAGAAAAGAGGAGAAATTTCAAAACAAAAAATGAATTTACACTGTATCGCTTTGATTTTTTGGGAAAGAACAACAGAGAAAAAAGAATCATTGGAATTAGCAAGGAAGAGAGAGAGAGAGAGAGAGAGAGAGAAGAAAAAGAGAGAAAAAAAAATAAAGAGAGAGGGAGAGAGAGAGAGAGAGAGAGAGAGAGAGAAAGAGAGAGAGAGAGAGAGAGAATTCCTTGTGCAAAATCCGTGACTATCAATTTAATGTTACACTTCCTACTTCAGCCCTGGTTGCCTTGATGCCTCTAAGGCCTATAGTCTTCGTTTTTGGTTTGTATTCCAAAACATCTTGCACCCTAATTTCCTAAACACATGCCGAATTGTAGATATAACAACTTTGTAGCAACACCATTAAACTCAACCTAGGGTTGTCTAATATTTACGTTTGCATTCGACTATATTAGTCTCCATAAAAGAACTACAGTTTTCTGTCATATCCTAGGCTTTTCCATTGCTGATCTTAATCGTTTTATCATTTGTCAAGTTGAGGTACATTTCAAGCGACCTACAGAAAGTAATTAATTTCTTCCCTTTTTTTTTTTTTTTTTCCATTTCAAGGAAGTACTGTTCAACTTCAACCTCAATATTGTTTAGCTGGTACACGTTTATTAACATCTCCGCAAGATGAAAGGACACCACTTTGTTTCAGCACACCAGGGCCTCTCTTTTAAACTGGCTAAAGTTCTAAGACGTGAGATCAATTGAGACTTATAATTTCCAAGTACATAAAGTGAATAATAACATTGATCTAGTCTTGTGCCAGTGTGCGCTATGACAGATTCATGAACAAATACAGTTCTCTTTCGAGTTCCTCTCCAGAAGACAGCTAGATAATGATGCAAGAGATTTTCAACACATGAAGCAGTTTTTAAGGCGGGAAAAAAAGGACATAACAAGCAGATGAACATAAAGAATACTCATCATAGAAGTTAAAAGTTAACTGCTCAACTTCTTTTTTTATTTTTTATTTTTGTTTTTCTATGAAATATTTCCTTTCTTTCATGTCATCCATTCAAGAATATCTGGCTCAAACTCTAAGAGACAGAAACTGATCTCACACAGAAGTTGCACTACTTTTAATTGTTGGATAACCAGGCAATCTGCATGTTCTAATAACAGCTAGTCCCTTATCTTGATAATGATGTTTGCCTTTTGGAATGCAGAATAATTAACAACGTTTCATATGGAGAGAAATTTCTCCTTTTTCTTTAACTTTTTTGGTATAACCTTTTCTATTCTTTTCATAGGGCAGGTAAAGGGGTTGTTAGATTTCAACGTGACAAATCACAAACATCACCTGGTTGTTCTTTTCAGGAGAATAAAATTAACGAGCAGTCATTCAATAAAGAAAAGAAATTGACCAACTTTAAAGTCTCTCTTAAAATGCTTTTCTCGAATTATAGAGAAATTCATCTCTCAGAAAATTGTTTGTATTTAGAAATACAAATCGAGAACCCATTAGTCCTCTCAAGTAATAACTAATAAGTCGCTAGCCTATTTCAAACTACTCAAGCAGACAGGCGCAAGACGGACTTAGAATTAAGATGTAGAATTCCAAAAAAGAACGAAAATCTAATTCTTTGGACTCAGATCTATAGAACGACACTTTTGCAGCAGTGAAAATTCTACAGCCAAACAACAAAGAAACATGTAAATAGAAGAATGAATTACGCAACAAAAAAAGAAGAATGAAGATAAAACACACCCAAGAACAAATGATCAGAAGATAATATCTTTCAGGCACGGAAAGGAACAAACCTGAAGATGATTATGAATAGAAGAACGAAATAAAACCCAAGCTTGACAAGCCTATATTTCTTCTCGAAACTTAAATCCCTGAACACTTCAGTAACATCAATAAGATGCTTTCGTTTCATAAACCTGAATAACAGAAACGCATAAGTTATTGTATGACAATGAGACAACTTGAAAACATGAGCTCAACATGTCCATAATTAATGTTTAGTAATATTTGTAAAGCTTTTCATGACATATTTTTATCTCAAGCAAATCCCCTAAAAGGGATACCGCTTCTCGGGCGACACGGAGAATTCAAAAACTACATTTATTATGTTTACAGAAGATACAATGAAACTTTAAATCTGAGAGTTAGACCAAGACCAGTAAGGCAATTGGCTAAATCTAAAAGGCCTACGATTCGATTCAAATCGAGCGGCAAATCATTCTTAATTAAGCCGTGAATACTAGGGAGAAGTAACACTTACAACATTGCGGCATAGCACATAAGGGGAAGGGTAATGAGAAACAACAACCAATGCCACGTCAACAGAAAAAGAGCACAGAGTACTCCATGTACAACGAACTCAGGGACGATCAAGAAATTAATACGAGATGACGATTCATAAGGATTCAAATAGTCAGCTTCCAAGTCTGATAAGATCACCAGCTACATTTAAAAATAAAAATAAAAAGTCATAAATTTCATCACTTTAGAATCATAAGTACTAGCAACTAGGCAATAATACACCCAATTATAGAATAAAATTATTTACTTCCACATTCCACAACATGCCAAATTTCAAAAGAAACAAAAACAAAACAAAGAATTTACTTCCATAAAACTTCACTGATTTCCTTTATATATCACGAATTCTCTTCCTTGTTTTTATTTTTTCGACTCCAAAAATTCCAGAAATTGGAAATTATAATCCTCTCTTTGGGACAAAAAATTCAAGGTTAAATGCTTCAGAATTCATTACTGACTTTCTCAGTGAAGCTCTTCACTCCCACATTGAGGAACATCACGACACATAATAAATATTGGATCCTTAATCTAACATTGGGCTCATATGTGAATAATTATGTGTCACGGACTGCTTCTTTTTATTCACACAGGCTCTTTAACCATTGTTGTAGCCCATCATATGTATTCCATGCCCCCTTATCCATATCTAGCTACCGACTATGGTACACAACTTTCATTGTTCACACATCACATGTGGATTGGTGGATTTCTCATAATTGGTGCTGCTGCGCATGCAGCCATTTTTATGGTAAGAGACTATGATCCAACCACTCAATACAACGATCTATTAGATCGTTCAACCTCTACATTAGTCTCTTTATATAGGAGAGACCGGCTGGTTTAAATAGGGAAAACAATCATAACAAATAAAAGACAAATCACAGAGAATATCATAAAACAGCTAATCCCTAGTCTCTAGAAATATTCCTTTTGAATCAGCTGCAAATCCTCCTAAACAGCTACAAATCCTCCTCCATAATTATCCTATATTCGGTAACACTCCCCCTCAAGTTGGGTAATATATGTCGTACATACCTAACTTGTCTACTAATTTTTCAAATATGGGTTTAGCTATCCCTTGGTTAGGACATCAACCACTTGTTGAGTAGTAGGAACATAGGACATGCAAATAGTTCCTTCTTCTATTTTTTCTTTGATAAAATGCCGATCGACTTCCACATGTTTGGTCTTGTCATGATGAACAGGATTGTGTGAGATATTTATGGCTGCCTTATTATCACAATAGACACGTAGTGGTAGCATAACTCCAACTTTAAGCTCATCTAGCAACATTTTCAGCCACAAAACCTCATAAATTCTGTGAGCTACCGATCTCAATTCTGCTTCAGCACTGCTTAGCAACTACTGTTTGCTTCTTGCTTCTCCATGTAACCAGATTTCCCCATACGAGTGTACAGTATCCAGAAGTAGACCTCCTATCCGCATCAACTACTGTGTATAGGGATTTCTTTAATCTGCACACTTCTTCACATTTTCCATCTTCATTGAATCCAGGTGGAAGCTCCTTATAAACCTCTTCTTCCAAGTCGCCATTTAAGAATGCATTTTTCACATCAAGTTGTTGCAATGGCTAGTCTAAGTTTGCCGCTGGGATAACAAGACTCGAAGAGTATTGATCTTGGCCACTGGTGCAAAAGTCTCCTGATAATCTATCCCGCAAGTCTGTGTGTATCCCTTAGCCACCAACCGCACTTTATATCTCTCGATTGAACCATCTGCTTTATACTTGACTGTAAATACCCACTTGCACCCAACTGCAATCTTATCTCTTGGTTTTTTTACAATATCCCACGTACCATTCTTCTTCAAAGCTTCAATTTCTTCCAAAACAACCTTTCTCCATTCGTCCTTTCCCATTGCCCCCTGGATGTCTCTCGGTATCTCTATACTCGCCAAATTCGTCACCAAGGCCTTCATTGAACCTGATAGATGATCATAACGTACATAATTGGCTATAGGATATTTAGTGCAGGACCTAGTACCTTTTCTCAGAGCAATAGGAACATCTAAGTTGTTCAGCTCCCCATCAAGACCAAGTTTTGGATTAGATTCTTGGTAGTGAAGATCCTTCTGGCTTTCTACAACTTTTTGGTTCTTCCTGCATGAATAGGTTAGATCAAATGGTTGCAGACCTTGCTTTTGCATTTTAGATGTTGGATTCCTAGGAGTGACTGTGATGGATTGTAAAGGATCACCTAATTATTCTGCAGATGTGTTCGGCTGATGAAGAACATGTGACTTAGGACTTGACAGGGTAATTTCCAGATTCTCAGTGGGATTTTCTATGGTAGTGCTTGGGAAGTTCTCAGATTCTAAAACAAGAATATCTGTAAGATTTGAGCTAGGAATATTTTCAACCTTTTTACCATGATTCTCTATTTCAGGGGATGTTTCATGGAGATCAGAATCCTTCGGATCTAGGTTTGTAATCTCTGGAGGTGGGGTGAAATCCCAAAAAACTCCCAAGACGAAGATGGACATTTAAGGTTCTGACCCTCCTGATATTTAGGCTTCTCCCAAAAATTATATTCCCATCTTTTCTCCCCCTGAAGGAAATTTTTGGTGAAAATAGGTCGGTTTTCAAAAAAGGTGACATCCCAAGTCACAAAATATTTCCTTTTCTCTAAAGAATAACATATATACCCCTTTTTGGTCGCAAAGTATCCCAGAAAAATACATTTATGATCTAGGATCTAATTTTTCACAGTTTGGATCTAGATTATGGACAAAGGCCACACAGCCAAATACTTTTAACTTGATAGAAGATGGAATCCAAAGCTTTGGGTAGTACTTATATAGGGACTCTATGGGAGTTTGAAATTTGAGAACTCGAGAAGGTACCCTATTTATCAAGTAGGTTGCAGTCAGAACTGCATCACCCCAAAAACGCTTAGGAAGATTCATTGTAAATAATAGTGACCGGGCAACTTCTAGAAGATGATGATTCTTTCTCTCAACCACCCCATTTTGTTGTGGTGTGTCTACACAAAAACTTTGACAGATAATCCAATTTTCCCTCACAAATTCCCCTAAACTGGCATTAAAAAATTCTGTGCCGTTGTCAGTTCTTAAGAATTTAATATTCTCATCGAATTGTGTTTTAATCATGGTGTGAAATTCTTTGAAAACATTCCTAGCTTTAGATTTTTCCTTTAGAAGATAAACCCAGCAAACCCGTGTGTGATCATCAGTAAAGGTTATGAACTATTTTTTATTGGTGAGACTTGAAACACAAGAAGGTCCCCACAGGTCACTATGAATAAGAACAAATGGTTTTGATGCATGATATGGTAAGGGATAAAAATGGACACGAGTGTGTTTTGCTAATTGACAAACTTCACATATTTTTCATTATTCTTGAACAAGGAAACAAAAATTGCAAGTAAGGAAAACTAGGATGTCCTAATCTATAATGCAATAACATAATTTTTTGAGTTCTGGAAAGAGAATTGCTTGCAACCATTTGAGCCTTCCCATTGAATTTCTCCTCAAAGTAGTATAGGCCATCTAGCTCCTCAACACTGTCAATCCTCTTCCCCAATAATCAGTCCTGAAAAACACAAACAGATAGCAAGAATATCACTTCACAATCCAAGTCTTTGGTTATTTTACTAATGGACAAGAGATTGAAGCTCAAATTTGGCACATAAAGGACCCCTTTTAATGTGACATTGGGTCCAATTTTTATTACCCCTGTACCAGCTACCACGGAAGAGGTTCCATCAGAAATCTGCATTTTGCGGTTTCCAGCGCTAGGAGTGTATGTGGTGTACAGCTTTGCACACCCAGTCATATGGTCCGTTGCCCCTGAGTGAATAATCCATGGTTCTTCCTTTTCTACCAAGCCACGAAAAACAGCTAGTGCTTTACCTCTCTAAACCATCAAAGAGGATGAGTGGGACGATGATTGTGTTAACATCTGCCTTAGTTGTTCCATTTGCTCTTTAGAAAAAACAGGTGCTGCAGTGGCTGGTTCTTCTTCAGTCTTCTCAATGGTTGCTTGAAATCCCTTTCCTTCACATCCACGGTTCCGGGGTGTCCAATTTGCCGGCTTGCCACGTAGTTTCCAACAGTTCTCCTTGGTGTGATATGGTTTTTTACAATGATCACACCACTTTTTATTAATTTTTTCTTCTCCTTGCTTCTCTGGTCCACGGACAACCAATGCAGAATTTTCCAAGATCTGCATATTTCCTTCGAGCATGACCCTCTTCCTTGATTCCTCTTTACGTACTTTTGCAAAGATTTCCTCAATTTGCGGAAGAGGTCTCATTCCAAGCAGTCGACCTCGGACTTCATCCAAGTCCTTGTTAAGTCCAGTGAGGAAGTCATATATTCGATCCTGATCAACCATTCTTCTATACATGACTACATCATCAGGGTCTTTTCACGAAGGGGATGAAAATAGGTCTAACTCTTGCCAGAGTTTTGTCAACTCATGATAGTATTGTGTGACACCACTCTCTCCCTGCTTCAAATTTCTTACCTTGTTCCTGAGTTCAAACATCTGTGATGTATTCTCCAAATTAGCATAAGCCAAATTGAATGCATCCCAAATCTTCTTGGCCATGGGAAACAGGAAGTAGGTGCCCACGATGTTGTCTTCCATAGAGTGAATCAACCATGCCATCACCATAGAGTTTTGTGCTTCCCAATTCTCATATGAAGGATCTCCTGTTTTAGGCTGCGGAATTGTGCCATCCAAATAGACTAGTCTTCCTTTTCCTCGTAACACCATTAGTACTGATTGGGACCACTCGAGAAAATTCTTTCCATTTAACTTATGGGTGGTGATTTGAAGGGATAGATTATTAGAACTCTCGAGATCTGAAGTAACAGGTTTGGAGGCAGCAGTGGGAGCAATTGTGGAGGTAGTTTGAGAGGACAATTCCTCAGAAACATCGCCTCCGCTTGCTCCAGTCAACGCCCTTTTATATGCTACCATCTACAACTCGAAATTCCAGAACTCCTAGACTTCGCCTGACTCTGATACCATATAGCAGGAATTCGAGGAGATGGGAGAGGAAAAAGGAAAAAACACTGCTTCTTTTTATTCACACACATTCAACCTCCACATTAGTCTCTTTATATAGGAGAGACCGACTGGTATAAATAAGGAA